GGAGCCAAGCGACTCGGGGGCGCGCGCGCGGCCCGAAAACAAGGACTCGGATTCCACAACGCAGACGGGCGTTCTCTCGGCAACGGAAGCGTGACGCGGCGGGAAATAACCCAGATTTGCTTCGGCGGTCCAAAGATGAGCATTGATTCACAATAAATTGTCTTTGTTCATGTAACGCTGCCTATTGTAACAGACGCACCCATTGGATGCTCTGCCACTAGAGGGCAGAAGGTCCGATGATGCAAAAGCAAAGTACCTGTACAACGAAGCAGGCCCACTTTTCACACTCGGCTTTCCTCCCGCACCAGCAAAAAGTCCGTTAAGGGGCGTCAACTCTTTTTAATCTTTTGCTGGTCAAATGGTGTAAAGTCTCAAAATTGACTTCGCCGGTGTTCAAACGTCCATTTGTTGCCTAAGGCGATCGATCCCCCCCCCCCCTGTTTTATCCTGATTATGTTATTTTTCTCTGTTGAGTCTCCTTTTAGGCGGTAAAGTGCCGCTCTGCTTGCTCTACAGAGTGTTAATGATGGGCTTACGGTTTCAGCTAAATGAAATCGGGTATAGCTACTGTATGGAAGACAGTATCCTAAACTAGAATGCAAATTACTCTCCTGTAATGCGCAACGAGTCTCGCTGGGGGCAGTGTGGTGCTGCGCACTTCACGTTTTCAAAACGCGAAGAAGAAAAAAAAAAGCCGCTACCTGCCTGAAGCTGCTTCATTCACTGACTGCCAACTAAGCTTCGCTTTCATTGACTTTAAGGTATTGAAACTTTTGAATGTATGTGTCAGAATACGCGTGTGTTATTTAGGGATCCATATCTGTCACACTCTTCCAATTGTATCGCTAAGTGTGTTCGGTAGTTAGCATGGCGCTAGTTAGCCTGTTAGCAGTAAACAAGATTCAATTTGTGTCCATTGTCACTTCCTACTCGTGGTTGTCTTTCTTTTATTCACGGTTGTCTGTTTTGCGTGTGTGTAATCAGAAGAGGGGTTATGGTGTTTTCTACGACGAGTAAATAATAAAGGAAGCCCGACGGCATCATGGAGTTCTCCGCAGAAGACGGAGACACACACAATGTCATCGACATGACCACGAGTGAAAAGGTAAACACGAGTCTCTCTGGCAGTGATTCCCAACCAGTGTGCCGTGAGAGATCATGAGTTCTGCCGCAGGAAATAAGTTGTCAATTCTCTCCACCAAAGACAATTTGATTCGGTTTTCGAAACTTGGAATGCGAATTGACGCAAGGACGGTTTCGACGTAAAAGTGGAAGCGTTCTATTTGGATCCACTCTGTGGGATTACGATTCAATTCGATATGGTACGGCTCAGGTCGAGAGGGGTATGACGCAATGCCTTTTTTGTGTTCTATTTGCACACATTTAAATGAACCTGTCAGTTCTATGTGTACCATTTCCTTCCAATAAAAGAGGATTCACAATGTATCTGGGTATATTTTCAAGTGGACTGATTCGGAAGACAGAAGGTTCATAATTAACCTGCATATCCATAACCACTTTTTGTTGAGCGTTTTGCAGTGTGGTGTGCCGTGATATTTTTTTTCAAGGTGAAATGTGTTCCTTGGCGCACCGAAGGTCGGTTAACACTGGTCTATAGGATTAGAATACTAAAATGCGGCCGGAGCATGTGAGAAACTCTATCTGCTTTCAGGTCGTGGATCTTTTGAACCAGGCTGCCTTGATTCCCACAGATGCAAAGCTGGCTGTGCTCAAACAGGTCTGTTCTTCCCTGTAAACGGAGCTAAGAGTCAGTCCTATTTGCCTTTGAAAGAATGCATTTTTTTCGTGTTTTAAAAGAGATCCTGGGCGTCTTATGTGGGAGGGGGGGGATACACAAAGGATAAAGACTTTCAGAACCTAACATCCACTTGCCGCACCTTGGTTAAAATGACCCATTTTAACACCCCAGTCCTCTGAGAAAAAGTGACTTGGACCATACTGAGCAACTTTTTTTAGGTGTTCTCTGCAATTCTGATGCACCCTTTGCGCCCAACCTGCAAATGAATGGTGCTTGCACAAAGCCGTATATATAAGATAAGAACAAATGTGTGTGTGTGTGTGTGTGTGTGTGTGTGTGTGTGTGTGTGTGTGTGTAAAAACCCCTCTGTTTCATTTTCCAGGTCCAGGAGCTAATCATCAACAAAGATCCATCTCTCCTTGACAATTTCCTGGACGTAAGGGTGCACATGAGCATGCATCATATCATGATGCCATCATGCAATGAAGCTTTTTTTTCTTCTTCACCTTTCAGGAGATGATTGCCTTTCAGACGGACAAATCCATCGAAGTACGAAAGTTTGTCATCGGCTTTATCGAGGAAGCATGGTGGGTGCTTCTGTATTCCAGTCAGAGATCGATTGTTTTGCGCTCTACTCATGTTTTTCTGTTTTTTTTTTTTTAAATATTTTGTTTTTCCAGTAAACGAGACAATGAGCTGCTCCTCAGGCTAATCGCAAACTTGAACATGCTGCTCAAGGATGACAGCGTTAACGTGGTGAAGAAAGCCATTCTCACACTCACGCAGATGTACAAGGTTACGCTACAGGTAAGTTTTCAAAAAAAAAAAAAAGACTTATAGATGTCTCTCTGGTTACACCATGCATGCGTGAAACTATAAAAATCTTTACAGGCAAGAGTAGCCTGGTGGAAATGTTTGCACTTAGCAGGTGCAACAATTTATAACTACTTTGATCATTGATTGATTGGTTAGAGACCTTGTTGAACTTTAAGTTGTCCACAACATGTTTTATCTTTGGGAATAATCCGAATCAGACATTTGCAAACATTCGCATGTACTTCAGACAAGACTGATCTTAATCGGACGCAGGCATCCAAGTCAAGGTTTGAGTCACAATATGGAACATATACAAACGAAACCGTTTCACCCCCCCAGTGGCTGGTGCGAGCCAAAGCCGTGTCGGATATGCAGGAGGCCTGCTGGGAGATGGTGACGCAGATGAAGGGCGACGTCCTGGCACTGCTGGACTCGGAGAACGACGGCGTGCGCACTCACGCCATCAAATTCACCGAGTCGCTCATCGTCACCCTGTCGCCTCGCGTGGTCGACTCGGATGTGCCCAAGCGCCAGGAGAGCGACATCACTTTGGACAAAGTACCCAAGGACCACACGTACATCCGCTACGGTAGGAAGACGAGAATGCGAAACATGGCCTGAAGCACTGAGCCAGCTTCACCAGCTAAATTCCGACATATCGGGCCATGAATTAACCCCCGTAACTTGAACTAGACGAGCAATGGAACTGTTTCTTGAAGCAGTCAAATTTCCAATTGGCCACCGATCTGATTTTTTTATTTTAATTTGTATTGCGCGTGTAATTGCACTGTGATTGTTGTGGTATTCCAAGTGGTCGGCGCCACTGAAGGCGCGGCAACCAAATGCATGCCCCGCCAACGTTAGAAGTCTACCTTACTGGAGTCGTGTATTCTTAATTGACATCAACAACCCAAATGTCCACGTTTTCCTTCGTAGATGTTTTGTGTGAGGAGGGAAAATCGGCTCTGGACAAGCTGCTGAAGTTCATGGTGCATCCCGCCATTTCCAGCATTAACCTGACCACTGCGCTGGGCTCCCTAGCCACCATCGCCCGCCAGAGGCCCATGTTTATGTCCAAGGTGGTTCAAGCGTACGAGACCTTACACGGTGAGTCAGGAACCGGCTAACGTTGACCATCCAGTTCCATTTGGTCACCGTGAAATCAAATGTTTTGCCTTTTTTTGTTGTTTTTTTTTTCTTTGCAGCTAATCTTCCGCCCACCCTGGCCAAGTCGCAGGTGAGCAGCGTGCGAAAGAACCTCAAGCTGCACCTGGTGGCTGTGCTCAAGCATCCGTCCAGTCTGGAGTTCCAAGGCCAGATCAGCACGTTGCTGCTGGACCTTGGCATGCCCCAGAGCGAGATCACGCGCTCCACGCCGCCGCCGAGGGAGCATCGCAAGAGGCCGCGGCACGAGCAGTACACGGAGGGGAAGAAGGTCAAGTTGGGTGAGTGCCCTCTTTGGTCATACCGCGTAAACGCTAGAGTTGGTCAGTGCGACGAGGTCATCGGACGCACGGCGACATCAGCCGCGCAGCGCCGATTTTCTTTGGATGCACACGGTCGTGGGAGGCGAGTCTCCCGGCCGTATGCCGTGGCCCAGTGTGCGCCTCGGACTCCTGACTTTGCCTCTGCTGCGCGTTCAGAGCAAACCCTGATGGAAGACGACGAGGACAAGGAGGAGCCGGCTCCTCTCTCAGCCCCCAAGCCCGCTCCGGTTCCAGTGGCGCAGTCCGCCATTGACCTGACCGCCGACTTCCTGCGCCCGCTCCTCAACGCCGACAACGTCGCCAATCTGGTGAGCGACCACAGCGGGGGGGGACGCTCTTCGCTTGGGCTTTTTGCACGCGCCGAAGCCGACGCCTGTCTCTTTGCGCAGGTGCTGATCAGTATGGTGTATCTGCCCGACACCATGCCGGCATCCTTCCAAGCCACGTACACGCCCGTGGAGTCGGCTGGCACCGACGCCCAAATCAAGCATTTGGCCCGGCTGATGGCCACACAGATGACTGCGGCTGGGATCGGGCCAGGTCGGTCCGGCAATCTTAGAAAACCCACAATGGTCGCGCCTGTCGGGTTCAAGTTCGATGAACATGAAAATATTTGATTTTCCCGGGGAGAATACTGTCGGATTTTGTCGGACAGCTTTGATACTTAATTGGACTGACCCAGGATCACGAGTGCCTTTTCGACACCCCGGGAAATATGCCTTTTTTTTTTTTTTTTTTTTTTTTTTGCCTGCCCTCTCTGCAGGCCTAGAGGAGTGCAAAGCCAGAGAGAACGAGGCGAGCAAAGAGGGCGCCAACGAAGATGACATGGGCAGCAGTGACTCTCTCATCAAGCGCAAAGTGATGGTGGGCCAGGCCATCTCCGTGGTGGGCGGCTACTCGGAAAAAGAAAAGGCTCCCAACCTCGCCGCTGTCAAGAGGCTTCCCGAGCCCATCCTGCCGTCGGCGCAAACCAAGTCAGATCTGCAACCGGCGACCGATGCGTCGCAAACGCCTCCCGACCGTCTTTGTCTTCTCCCCTTCCTCGTGGAGCAGATTGGCGGGGCTGACCGGCAGGAAGAAAGTCTTCAGGCTGGCGGATGTGATCCAGCCTTTATCCGAGACGCAGATTGAACGCTTAACGTCCAAGACCATCAAGCGCATCCTTCATTCTGAAAAGACCATCACTCAAAGTGGAATGTCCCATGTAAGCGATCGCTCCCTATTTGTGCTGGACCATTGTGTGTGTGTGTGTGTGTGGGGGGGGGGGGAAAGTAGAATGCAAATTCCAATAGGGTAAAAATCCCCAAAGAAAACCTGATGTGATTTTGTTGTCGTCAGGTCCGAGTGAAGCTCCTCTCCAAGCTGGTGACGCAGTTTGAGGGCATCATGAAAGAGGACGTGCTGCACTTCATTTTGGAGGACATCCGCAGCCGCAGCGAGCTGGCCTTTTCGCTGCTCTATCAAGAGTACAACACCTACCTGAGCCAGCTGCCCTCGGGGCTGCTGGACAGCTACGACCAGTGTCTGTACACGCTGCTCTCCGGACTGCAGGAGAAGCCCGAGCAGAAGGACGGGTGAGGACCAATCCCTCATTCGGTAATAACGGTCGGGATTTGAAGAAGCCCCCGCTCCTCCAAAATGTTCACTTGGAATCAAACTGACCGACATCCTTTGGGTTTGCGGGCGTGGCCTCTTGAGGCTTGTTCCGCTCCAGTCAAAGTCATGTGCCGACCCACGCAGCAAAATTGGCTGCTCTTCTTCAACCAAATGGTGGGAGGATTTTTGTTGTTGTTTTTTTTTTGTCAAGTTTTCACTGTCTGACTTGTAAAATTTGGTCGCAACTGGACAAAAAAGTTTGTCTTGGAAGGAGCAGAGGACGGATTAGATTAAAATGGCTGACTTTCTGTATCCTCTCATGCATCGCTTCTCAAAAATCTTTTTTTTAAATATATTACGAATTATGATGGACACCAAATTTCATGTTGGGAATTGAAGCTGTCTTTTGGTGCTGAATTTCCTCCCAGGTGCAACGTTTCCTCAATTTCCCTTCTTTCATTGTCATACCTGTGAATTGAATTTGGTTACAAATGGAACAAAAACTCTCAAGTGGGCGCTGCTGAGTAACATTTGTTGTCGTGGGGCAGGCTGTTCACCAAACTGGTACTGGAGGCTCCCATCATCACAGAGTCGGCGCTGGAAGTAATCCGGCGTTACTGTGAGGACGAGGTGCGTCAACGACAGGAAGATGGCGGCATCGGAGCATCGCACTCAGCTGTTGCCCTTCCTCTCTTCTGTTGCAGTCGCGGGTGTATTTAGGCATGACGACGCTGAAGGAACTCATCGTCAAGCGGCCTTCCAGGCAGTTCCAGTACCTTCACGTGCTCCTGGATCTCAGCTCGCATGAAAAAGAGAAGGTGGCAACATTGTGCTCCATATTGAATTAATAGGCCTCTCCTTTTAAGTTGGGGGGGGGGGAGTCAAATCGACCTGTTTTTGCCTCCCGTTATTGAGCAGTAAGCTAAACATCAAAATGGAAAATATGGTTTGATTTTGAAGAAGTCCAACAGTCTTGAGAAAATGTAGCCACGCCTTGAAACTCTGCTGCTCTGTGGGGAGTCAAATCATTCTTTTTAAATAAAATGTCAAAATGAAAACCCGATGTTAAATTGGTTTCAGGTTTCTTTTTTTCCGCGCTGTTGGCTAAAGCGACAGCCGAAACTGTCGGCCAGGTAAGAGGTTTTTCCCTTCACCCCCACCCCCAAACAAAAGACAGTTGTCTTGGAAAAAAGAAACCTTGAACCAATTTAACCATGAGTAGACAAGATGAATGAGGATGTGCTAAAAGCCAGGTCAAAAAGAAAAATATTCAGGACGAAACTCCTTCTGCTGGCCTTATTTGTGCAATTCCGAAGTCAAATCAGTGGTCAACAATCACTGAGCCGTCTGTGACAGCGCTGCGCAGATTTGAGGGGGGAGGGTCGGCCAGGTAAGAGGTTTTTCCCTTCACCCCCACCCCCAAACAAAAGACAGTTGTCTTGGAAAAAAGAAACCTTGAACCAATTTAACCATGAGTAGACAAGATGAATGACGTAGTGCTAAAAGCCAGGTCAAAAAGAAAAATATTCAGGACGAAACTCCTTCTGCTGGCCTTATTTGTGCAATTCCGAAGTCAAATCAGTGGTCAACAATCATTGACCGGTCTGCGACGGCGCTGCGCAGATTTGAGGGGGGAATCAAACCCCAAATCTCTCACCGCCGGGCACAAGGGATTGTCCACTCTGGGCAAAGACGGCAGCTGCGCTTCACACAACGGTTGACTTGAAATGAGTTTCTTGTGATGTTTTGACCTCTTTTCAGGTGCGGTCCACCGCCCTGGCCTTTCTGAAGCGCATGTACGAGAAAGACCACCTCCGGGACTACATTGAGAAGTTTGCCCTGAACTACATGCAACTCCTGGTCCACCCCAACCCCCCGTCGCTGCTCTTTGGGGCCGACAAAGACACAGGTGAGGACCAGACGTCGCCGCCGCCGCCGCTCCTAAAGGTCAGCCCGGCCGCGCGCTTCTAAACTGCCTGTTTGCTCGGGGGCGCAGAGGTGGCGTCCCCCTGGACCGAAGAGACGGTCCGCCAGTGTCTCTTCCTCTACTTGTCTCTGCTGCCGTTGAACCACAAGCTGGTGCACGAGCTGGCGTCCGTCTACACGGAGGCCATCGCCGACATCAAGCGCAGCGTGCTTCGAGCCATCGAGCTCCCCGTAAGTCACTTTTCGTCCGAGTCCTCGCGAGTGTTTCACAACTTCGCAAACGGTCGCCAGGTTTGCCGCCGAATTGTGTCTGATGCGCTGCGCTCATTGAAAAAGCGCAATATGGGGATAAAAGTGCTGTTCCCACCAGTGACGATACGCTCTGTGCGTTTACTGTCTTGATTTTGATGGGCGCTCCCTTTTTTTTTTCCTCAAATCTTCATCACACACCGCTATAGTCGTCCTAGTTGCTCGCCTCGTCACAGCTCCCCCGAGAAACTGAAACGGTCGCCAGGTTTGCCGCCGAATTGTGTCTGATGCGCTGCGCTCATTGAAAAAGCGCAATATGGGGATAAAAGTGCTGTTCCCACCAGTGACGATACGCTCTGTGCGTTTACTGTCTTGATGGGCGCTCCCTTTTTTTTTTTTTCCTCAAATCTTCATCACACCCCGGTATAGTCGTCCTAGTTGCTCGCCTCATCACAGGTCCCCCCAGAGAAACTTTTGCACGCGACCCGATGCCACCTCACAACAGGCTCACAGCAGCCGCTTCAAACTGCCGCCTGGCCCAAAGTGTGTCCCAAAGACGTCACCAAGACAGAGTTGTGACTTACAATCGTGAAGGCTTTCGTGTTAACCGCGCAAGGCGTCTTGTTTGAACGGCGTTCCCACAGATCCGCGGAATGGGCATGAACTCTCCCGAGCTTCTGCTTCTGGTGGAAAACTGCCCCAAGGGCGCGGAGACGCTCGTTACCCGCTGCCTGCACATTTTGACGGACAAAGGTAAGCCTCCCAACGGCTGCCACCATGTTGGATCGGGCGGAACTGGGAATTGAAAAAGTCTGCCCTCCCGGCGCGCAGTGCCTCCGTCTCCGGAGCTGGTGGAGCGGGTGCGGGACCTTTACCATAAGCGTGTGCCGGATGTTCGCTTCCTCA